GCCATGATGCCTCATTTTCTCCTACAGTTGGAGATTTGGGTTATTCTGTAAATCCTGAAACCCAACCAGCATAACCCACCTTCAGCTTTTTGAAGGACACTTGTGGGGCAAAAACTGAGAGTTTATTCATGCATGACCTACAGAGCTACAAACACCTCCAGTGAGTCCCACCCACCAGGTGAAATTTAAGATCAAGTTTGTTACCTAGGATGTGGTTTTGCGGGTAGGATTCAGTTTGAAGTTTCCTTGTCTGAACCTACAGAGCATCTCAGCTCACCTTAGAGCAGATGTGCTCCACCAACTGCATTGACTCACCACCTCTGATGATCATGGGAGCTTGGACCCCAGGCCTACATGTAGCCCCAAATTTGGGACACTGAATGCAGAGCTGAATCTAGGGAAACCCAGAAGCTGGATTTTTGGAATTTTTCCTCAGGACTTTGAAAATCTTTATGCCCTTTTATGGTGTCCCAGTTTCTGTACTTAAAACATCCAGCTCATTTTGGCCTCAACCGTGACCTACTTCATCCTCAAGGTTGAAATTAATGTATAAAATCTGTTTACATGGAACTAAAAACTGCTCTGTCCAGCCATGTGCACACATATGGATATGGAGGCATAAACAGAGGATTTTGTGGTCTTAAACTAGGTCAGAACGTCAGTCCATGTCCAGTTCCAAAGATAAAACAAACATTCCCAATGAACGTGTGAGCCTCCTCAGGATCGCCTCGTTCCTGTTCATTCACTATGAAGTTCCCTGGAACTGAAGAGGACCTTGTAATGGTGAAATCCTTCCAGAAGCAGAGGAATTGGATGGTTGCTACTAAAAATAATTAAAAGAAAAAATATCCCAGTGGTGTTCATCAAAGTATCCCTGATCTGACCCAGTTTCAGAGCTTGTCTATAAACTCCTTTAACTTCATAGTTAGGACCTAGTTTTCATGTCTTGCAGAGCAGATGAAGTTTTACCAGTGAAAGTTGGGCTGTTGCAGAGAGTCTGACCAGAGAATCACAGACTCACTGAATGGTTTGGGTGGGAAGAGCCCTAAAAGACCCCCCAGCCCCACCCCCCCTGCCAGCAGCAGGGACCCCTTCCACTAGACCAGGTTGCTCAAAGCCTCATCCAACCTGGCCACAAACACTTCCAGGGAGGAGCAGCCACAGTTTCTCTGCCCAACCTGGGACACTGTCTCATCACCCTCACACCAAACAATTTCTTCCTCACATCTCAGCTCCATCTCCCCTCTGACACTTTCAAGCCATCGCCCCTTGTTCTCTCACTCCCTGCCCTTGGCCAAAGTCCCTCCCCAGCCTTCCTGGAGCCCCTTCAGGTACTGGGAGGCCACTAGAAGGTCTCCCTGGAGCCTTCTCTTCTCCAGGCTGAACAGCCCCAACTCTCTCAGCCTGTCCTCACAGCAGAGCTGCTCCAGCCCTGGCATCATCCTGGTGGCCTCCTCTGCACTGGCTCCAGTAGCTCCATGTCCTTGTGCTGTTGGTGGCCCCAGCACTGGAGGCAGCACTGCAGGTGGGGTCTGAGGAGAGCGGAGCAGAGGGGCAGAATCCCCTCCCTCCACCTGCTGCCCACGCTGCTCTGGGTGCAGCCCAGGATATGGTTGACCTTCCCCATTTCTTGGAAGAAAACCCCTGTGAAATCTGTCAATCCCAGACCAGCTGAGTCCGTTGCCAGGGCTGGGCATGGTTGGCCATTTCAGTAGGAAAGTTGCACACCCAACAAAAGTGTGAGATTGGTACCAAACACAGATGTTGACCAGAACAAGAAGCAAGTGAGGCAGTGTCTGGACATCATTTATTTCCAACTCCCTGTGTAGCATCATCAGAGCTACTGTACCTACCAGGCTGTGAAGGTGCTGGTGTGAAGGAGAAGTTGACAACTCATGCTGTTTGCTGGCAAAAGGGAATTTCGTGGCAGCAAATGCAGTCGGCAGGGACGGGGCTGAGCAAATGCAGATAAGAGAAAGGGATCGACAGGTGGAAAGCACTTGTAGAAAAATTGGTGTGTCCATTATTGCCTGTGGCGCCATGGATGGAAAGTCAAACAGAGAAAAGCAAACAGCCAACGTTCGGAAGTTGCGTGGTCCTGTCAATTATTAAATGAAGCCGGTAAATCACTGTGACTCAGAGACAGCTGGAGAATAGGTGGGTTTAGGGGAAGCTGCATGGTGAGCGCACGCAAACCTCGAGGCAGCACATCTCATACTGCAAACCAAATCAACAGGCAGCGAGGTTCCTGGCCGTGTACTCCCTAAAGTGTTTGGGATGATTTTAGGGTAAATACAAACTAAAATTACTACAAATGTAATCACTCAACATCACACAGACCTGGAAAAATACAGGAGAGACGTCTGGCAGCTTCCCAGCCATGAGGCCCGGGGGCTGAGTGTTAAACACTCCCATTTACCTGGCATCCACCCTCATGTTTCCATGAAGTTCATCTTTTCTCCTGCAGACATCAGTCCCTCCCCAGCATCTGACTGACATGATGTTGCACGCACAGCAGCACCCACAGCAGCACCCACGTGCTCTTGCTGGTTTTACTACTTGGCACCTCCCAGTGACAGAACTCAAGAACCTGTGGAAGAGATGGAGCATTTCCTTCCCCTGATAGAAAGAAAAACCCAGGTACAATTTTCCCATAACTCTCTCGTGCTTGCCAAAAAACAGTGTCCAAGCACCAAACTGCGTTCCATGGCACTGATCCCTGCCTTCTCCACCCAGCACAAAGGGCAGCTGGGAGGAGCTCTCATTTGCCAAAGCAGCTTTTGGAGCTGTGTGTGGGGGGAAGAAAAACAAATTAAAAAAATAAAGAGAAACAACATTTTTTTTCTCCCTACCAAATCTCTCCAGCACATCCCTGCAGCATCGCTCAGTGTGCTGGAACCTGCTAACAGATGGCCAGGGCATCCCAAACTCCAGTCCTGATCCTGACCTTGCAGGTCTTTGCACGGCTGAGCACTGACCAAGCCAAGTGCCTGCACTGAAGTCGGTGGTCTCCTCTGTGTTCACCCCTCCCCAGCACGAGTGATGCTCACAGCATCGCTGCAGGACAGTCTCTGCCGTGAGATGGGGCTGCTGCCCCCTCATTGCAAGGTCATGGCTTCTCTTTCTCCTCCTTTTCATCCTGCTCCCTCCTTCTTCACCACTCAGCTACTGGGATGAGGCAAAGACAGAGATAGCCCAGGGAAGGAGACCAGTCCATAAGACCAGCCCTCTTTGACCACCAACTCCAGAAGCAGAGGGAATGGCAGGAAGATGTGGCAGGGGAGGGTGAGGTTGACCATGAGGAAAAGGTTCTTGAGGCAGAGGGTGGTGGAGCACTGGAACAGGCTCCCCAGGGAGGTGCTCATGGCACCAAACCTGACAAGATTCCAGCAGCATTTGGCCAAGGCCCTCAGGGACATGGTGTGAATGTTGGGATTGTCCTGTGCAGGGACAGGAGTTGGACTCCATCATCCTGGTGGGTCCCTCCCAGCTCACAACATCCTGTGATTCTGTGAGGAAGAGTGAAGGCACTGATTTGGGGAAGAAAGGAGCAAATGGGTTGGTATGACCCTGCAGGGAGAATTATTTTGCACAAAGACAAGGTTTGTTAACCAGAAGATAGGTTGCCTTGGAATGGGTTGGAGGCTCCATAATGACACCCTGATGCTCTGAAAGGGGCAGGATGGGTATGCAGCATGTCACAGCTCCAGCACGTGTGTCCCTAAGGAAATGTGGCAATAATGCAAGATGCAAATAGCCCTGGGTCTCACAGGACTCGTTTGGGTTGCTTTGGGTGCCCGTTGCACCCTGTGCCTCCAGGCCAGACCAGCCTGCCCTCATCTGAATCACAACTGGGGAGGTGGGGAGAGATTCTCATGATGTTCCCAAAGGAGTTATATGCAGAACAGCTGATATCATGGGACAGCAAAAACCACACACTCCCCTTGCAGACCCTGCAACTGGACTCAGTTTGCTGGTTTTGTGTCTCTAGGCCATGAGTTCCTCTCCATCCTCCAGAACCATAAACAATCACGTTAATTTAAAGCTGAGGAGTCTCACATGATCCCAGAACCCCAGGAACTGACAGGTTTATATAATGGACCCATACAGAGATATTGTAATGAAAGCACAAGTCTGGTAACACTGTTTGTACTTCTTCAGAGACCAAACATGCTGGTAGCAATGACTCCCTTGATGACAGGCTGCTCTCTCCTCACCTGCAGGGAGGACAGCTTCATCATATGGCCACACCAGCTCAGCCCTCTTCCAGACTTTCTGAGAACTGGGACATCTCAGAATGGGAGATAGAATAATGTGAATTGTTATAATCCACCCCTCCATGGAGAGGAGAAGAGCTGTATTGCAGAAGAGGTGACAGATTTCTCCCAGAAAGTGAAGGAGCATGAGTGATTTTTTTCCAGGAGGTGATATGGTCCATGAGCAACCAATCTGGAGAGGAAAGGAAGGACAAGACTGGTTTGGGTTGGAAGGGATTTTTCAAGGTCATCTAGTCCAACACCTCTGCAGTGAGCAGGGACATCTTCAAACACATCAGGTTGCTCACAGCTCTGTCCAACCTGACCTTGAGCGTTTCCAGGGATGGGACTTCTATCACCTCTCTGGGCAACCTGGGCCAGGGTTTCACCACCCTCAGTGTAAAAAATTTCTTCCTTTTTATCTGGTCTGAATCTCCCCTCTTTTAATTTAAAACCATCACTCCTCGTTGTATCGCTCCAGACCCTGCTAAAGAGTCTGTCCTGATCTTTTTATAAGCTCCCCCTGAAGTATTGAAAGGCTGCAAGTTCTCTCTCGAATCTTCTCCTCTCCAGGCTGAACCCCAACTCTCTCAGCTTTTCTTCGTAGCAGAGCTGTTCCATCCCTCTGATTGTTTTTGTGGCTTCCTCTGGACTCGTTCCAGCAGGTCCATGTCTTGTGCTGAGGACCCCAGAGCTGGACACAGTGCTCCTGGTACTGGTGTTTGGGGCATTGCTGTTCTGGGGCTAGGCTCTCTGCTGGGTCCATCTCCAACAGAGCAGGGTGAGGATCCGCCTGCGGATCTGTTTGGTTTTCCAGCTGTACACGAGTGGGTTCAGGACGGGCGGCACCAGGAGATAAGCATCAGCCAGGAGTGTGTGAGTGAGAGGGGGCAGGTGCTTCCCAAACCTGTGGATGATGGACAAGCCAATGAGTGGGATGTAGAAAATCAGGATGGCAGTGAGGTGGGAGATGCATGTGCTAAAGACTTTGGCTCGTGCTTCCTGGGAGACGATGTTCAGGATGGCCCTGATGATCATCATGTAAGACAGGAGGATAACCAGGGAGTCCAGACCCTTGGTGAATATCACCGCGGTCAGCCCATACAAGCTGTTGACCTTGACATCCCCACAAACCAACCTGAGCATGTCCTGGTGCAGGCAAAAAGAGTGAGACAAGACCCGGGAACTGCAGAAAGGCATCTTCTTAATAAGGACAGCAACAGGTAGCACCACACAGACACCCCGCAGGAAGATCACCCCTCCCACCTTCGTTATCAGGGAGCTGGTCAGGACGGAGCCGTAGCACAAAGGGTAGCAAATAGCAACGAAGCGGTCAAAAGCCATGGCCACCAGGACTCCAGACTCAATGGCAGAGAAGGAGTGGATGAAGTACATCTGGACAATGCATGCCTCAAAACAGAGGGAAGTGGACTTGAACCAGAAAATTGCCAGCATGGTGGGCATGGTGGAGAGAGACAAGCCCAGATCTGCCATGGCCAACATGGAGAGGAAATAGTACATGGGGGTATGGAGGCTGTGGTCTGACTTTATCATCCAGAGTAAGGTGCAGTTCCCCAGGAGCATGAGGAGGTACAGGCAGCAGAGAGGCAATGCCATCCAGTAGCTGCTCATCAGTAGACCAGGAAAGATTTTTAGCAGACCAGGGATGCCGGTGAGGGTGAAGGTCAGGGGGATGGATCCAGTCCTATTGGAAGATGACATCTCACGCACTGATGGTCTGTGGGTCTGGAAATAATAGTGTCTTAGAATAAAAGCCCTGCTATGAGAACCAACACCCCAGCTACAACGGTGTTGGGAGGACAGGTCCCTGAGAGCTAGGAACCCCCTGTGCAGCTCCCTCCTGCAGATCCATCATATCAACCAAGGAAAGGACACAATGGAGCAGCCCCGGGGTCACTGGGCTGTGCACAGCAGCAGATAAGGAGGAAGGAGCAGTGCACAATTTAGTCTCCCCTAGCTGCTGTCCCCAACATTTAAATACCCAGAATTTCAGGAGATTTGGTGCTCAGCCCTTTGGGAGGTGCTGGAAAGCTTCTCAGAAGCACAAGCAGGACAAGAGCTTGGGGCCAGGGTACTGCTGCCTGGAGAAGGAGGAGAGGTGGGATGCAGACCTGGAGGTCAGCCCTGGGAATGGGGCTGGCTGATCTCTACAGCTGTAGTAGGAGCCACCTTGGCCATGCTGGTCCCTGCAAGGCTGAAGCACCTGGACAGGAGAAGGAAGAGGGGATGGAGGGGCTGAAGGACAACGGCAGAGAAAGGGCAATGTTTGTGCGGAACCGAAGTCGATCAGGCCACAAGAGATCACATCTCACTCTGAGATGAGAAGTAGCCCCATTATATGGGCCTCTGCATGGATTTCTTCCCTTTTTGTTTCAGCATGGCAAAGTGTACAAGGTTTTAGGAGCTTTATCAGCTAAACCTGCAGCTCAATTAACCAAACTAACGCTGATGGAAGGAAAATGGATTTGTACTTTCCAGCTGCCAAAAAGGTTAAATGGAAAGGAAGAAATTCAGAGGCTCAAATAAGATGAGAACCTGAAGTGATGTTTCATCTGCCTGAGGCCATTAGAAAACCCAACAGCAAACACCAGGTCTCCATCTGAGCACAGGGATGAGCTGCGATGCTCAGCCATGGGAGGCTGGGGCAAGTGGGGGAGATTCTGGTGGATGTACTGGTGGTATGTTGTGGCAATCCCCAGTATCAATACAGACTGGGGGAAGAGAAGGCTCCAGGGAGATCTTATAGCGACCTCCCAGTACCTGAAGGGGCTCCAGGAAGGCTGGGGAGGGACTTTGTCCAAGGGCAGGGAGTGAGAGAACAAGGGGTGATGGCTTGAAAGTGTCAGAGGGGAGATGGAGCTGAGATGTGAGGAAGAAATTGTTTGGTGTGAGGGTGGTGAGCCAGTGTCCCAGGTTGGGCAGAGAAGCTGTGGCTGCTCCTCCCTGGAAGTGTTTGTGGCCAGGTTGGATGAGGCTTGGAGCAACCTGGTCTAGTGGAAGGTGTCCCTGCTGCTGGCAGGGGGGTTGGGACTGGAGGAGCTTTAAGGTCCCTTCCAACCCAAACCAGTCTGGGATTCTATTCTAAGATTCCCAGAGAAATATTCCAGACAGGCTTCTCTGCAAACAGTTAAATTGAGCACATCAACGTGCCAACTGAGCAGCTGGAGGTGACAGCAGCACATCCTCACCTCTCACTGATCAGGGAAAATGTGCATCCTCTGTTCAGCTGGAAATGAACGAGTTTTGCATGGCTGAGGAGCACAAATTAATTGAGATTTGTGTCCCCCCCCCCACACACACACACACTCGGAGACCTCATCTGCTGTCAGAAAAATAAATAAATCCCTCAAGTTTCACATGGCCAAAGGTTGGTGCCTGTGAGACAACGGTGGGAGTACAATGGTGCTCAGCTCACCGCCGTGCTGCTCTCCTCCAGCAGCCCATGGTGCAGCTCCTCAGAAGCCATCAAACACCTGCTTCCCTGGTGAGGGAAAGATTTACATGGGGAGAAGAAGTTGGAACTGGCTCTCCCTGAGGGAAAAACCTCCCTGAGACTGAGCCCAGCAGTGTGGGAGAGGGACAAGTAGGATGGTGAAGGAGGGAGCTGAGGGTGTATAGAACCTAAAGCCGAGGAGCTGAAGATGCCCCTTTCCTCCTCTGGAGAGCAAAGGCATTGTTGAAATAAACTGCCACGTCCTATTTGTGAAGCCCTTTGAGAGAAGGAAGGGAATGTTAGTTTTTGCCCAAGGTCAGTTTTTAGGGTGGTTTTTCATACCAAGCCCATCTGTACATCAGATCAAAAGTAAGATTGAGCAAAGCGGTTTGTTCCTGGCCCTTTTCTAACACACTCACTTGTTCCTTCTGCCAGAGACTGTGGTGAACTCTTGTTGTGATGCAAGCCCTCAAACAAACTGTCCTTGCAGAGGAAGAACACCTCTATCCTGTCATCTTCAGGCAGCCCACCCCGTACTTACCCCAGGTGACAGCAGAGGACGTGGGCTGGAGCAGGAGCAGCCCTGGTTGTTCACACCACTGCAGGAGGCACTGGGCAGGGGGCTGGAAATCCCTGTTTAACCCAGTGAGAGCAAACCCCACGGGTCCCACCTCGCCCAGGGAGTCCCAGCTGATTGCTTTGTTCTTCACGAGGTGTGAGCACCACAGGACTGCGCACAAGCAGGTTTTTCTGCCTTCTCTGAAAAACTGGCAAAGTGTAAAATGGGAGTGACGGCAGCTCTGGGAAACCAGATGTGGGAAAAAAAGAGGCAAAATCTGGGAAGCAGATTTCTTATTTTTTTAAATTACCTACAATAATGTCAGCCCCACCATGTCAGCCCCGCTCACGAGATCGGCCAGATCCCGGCGGGTGTCTCTGTCACATCCATGGGCTTTCCTGACTCCAGGAACCCGTCCTTTCCTCCTCCAGGAACCCATCCTTTCCTCCTCCAGGAACTCGTCCTTTCCTCCTCAGCATGTGCAGAGGTGGCCTCCTCTGCACTGGCTCCAGTAGCTCATGTCCTTGTGGTGTTGGTGGCCCCAGCACTGGAGGCAGCACTGCAGGTGGGGTGTCAGGAGAGCGGAGCAGAGGGGCAGAATCCCCTCCCTCCACCTGCTGCCCACGCTGCTCTGGGTGCAGCCCAGTACACGGTTATTAGCTTCTCGTCCCCCAGCACCCCAAGTCCTTCTCCTCAGAGCTGCTCTCCAGCCATTCTCCACCCAGCCTGTGTTTGTGCCTGGGGTTGCCCCGACCCAGGTGCAGAACCTTGTACTTGACCTTGTTGAACCTCATGAGGTTCACAGAGACCCACTTCTTGAGCTTGTCCAGGTCCCTCTGGATGGCCTGCCATCCCTCAGGCACATCAACCACACCACTCAGCTTGGTGTCACCTGCAAACTTGCTGAGGGTGCACTCAATCCCACTCTCTGTGTCATTGATGAAGATATTGAACAGTACTGGTCCTGGTACAGACACTTGAGGGACACCACTTGTCACCGATCTCCATCTGGACATCAGTGATGTTTCTCTGGGGCACAGCAGTGAGGAGTCAACTCTGTGCCCCAAACAGCAGTTAGGGAGGGGGCAGCAAGGGACATGACTAGTACATGAAGTAGTCCTGGTGACTGACTCATCCCAGTTGCTTCTAAGGTAGATAATAAATATCCCACAGAGGAACCTGTTGGTGGTCCTAGAGGCTGTGTCAATACTATATGGTGACCAATGCAAATGATTTGTCTTTTTTGGGTCTCAAGCACCTTGGGGGAGGTATTGTCCTGTCGAAGGGGCATTCACCTTTGCAAAGAGACTCTGTGTGTGAGTGCACCTTCTTAATGTGTATAAAATCTTGATGGGATGGAGTAGCGATGACAAAGCCACATTCTTCTCAGGGGATCCAGTGAAAGGACAAGACACAATGAGCACAAATGAGAAGAAACAGGAAATTCCATTTAAATATAACAAATATTGTTTTTTTCTTTTTATGATAGGGTTAATCAAACATTGGCACAGGTTGCCCAGAGAAGATGTAGAGTCTCCATCCTTGGAGATACACAAACCCAGGTGTTCACTGCCCTGGGAAACCTGCTCTGCGTGACCCTGTCTGAGCAGGGGGGTTGGTCAGGATGATCTCCAGAGGTCCCTGCCACCTCGGTGACTCTGTGACTTGGACTGCATGCACATCCATTTCACACTATGAAAGCACTGCCCTGCTGGTACTGCAGAGCAGTTCTCATGCAAGTAACGTAATTTCAGTATAAAAAAATAAACACGCTTAATGTTCTAAGACTGCCAGAACACCACCTGGCTCCAGAGGAGAAACAGGACCAAGTCCTGCTCTGCCCCTTCCCTTCTGCCACTCCCGGCTGCTGTCACACTCCTTCTGCCTGCACCAGGATGTGATGAACCTGGCCTGTGCCCTGGCTCCACTGGTCCATGTCATCATGGGGAACATCTACATCCTGGTGCCCGCTGTGCTCAACCTCATCATCTATGGGGTGAGGACCAAAGAGATACACAGATTCCTGATTTCAATTAAAACTGCCAGTGACAGAACTGCCCATTGAACTGCACCCAGCTCTCGACTTTTCTTGCCTTAGCTTTGGGGCTGGGGAATGCTCTCCTCGTCCTCGATGCCACAGCACTCTGCCTCAGCCCTTGGCAGGCTCTCAGTCACTATCACAACACAAATAACAATAATTTATGATTGCAAATTGTAGAGCAAATATACTTTGTGCAGCAAGCACGAGTACTGCAGTAAAGTCTACACAAGCTTGGCAGGTTGATGACTTTATGGAGGTAGTTAGAGCCCTTCAGGAGTTGACATCTAGCTGGGCTTGTTCCTCTCCTTGCAGTGCATCCCAGAAAGGCACTGGGACAGGCAGACAGTATAAGACACTTTAATCTAATATTAACTTTTTCACTGTGTCTTCTTTTTCTTGCATTTACTCACTGCCTCTAATTTAGAAGAATATTTTTGTGGAAGGAAGAGATTAATACCACTTTGTGGAAGCAGAGAATCCCAGCACAAACCTGATTAAGAGCCTCATTTCCCGCATTTGGAACAAATTAACTCATTATCCACACAGCACAAAGCCAAACAACATTTGTAAATAGCAGCTCAAGGTATTTGTGGGGAGGTGGACTGGGTGTTGGTGGGAAGGTTTAGGTAGTGGATGGGGTTGCATAGGTGGCCAGGAGGGAGGTCCAGGGCTGCCCGTGCTGGACACAGATGGTTCCAGCTGGATCAGTTACAGACCCATCAGGCACTGATGCTGAGCCAGCCAAGGGTGTTTGTGGTGCCTCTGTGAAAACCTATCTAAGAAAGGGCAGAAAATGTCAGACAGAGAGAGGAAGGGTGAGAAACAGCAAGGGGAACACCAAGGGCAGAGCAGTAGAAGGTGCTCCATGGTGGTGGATGCACTCACACCAAAGGGACTGTGGAGGAGCCACACCAGAGCAGATACATCTCCAAAGGGACTCAGAGGGTTGTCATTGGGGGTGTGGAATCATGATGGAGGCTTGTATCTAGTGGTGTCCCCCAGGGGTCAATACCGGGTCCAGTGTTGTCCAAGTTATTCATCAATGACTCAGATGAAGGAATTGAGTGCCTCCTCAGCAAATTTGCTGATGATTCTAAACTGGGAGGAGAGTCGGATACGCCAGACGGCTGCGCTGCCATTCAGAGGGACCTCGACAGGCTGGAGTGATGGGCAGAGAGGAACCTCAAGAGGTTCAACAAGGGAAAGTGCAGGGTCCTGCATATGGGAAGGAATAACCCCATGCACCAGTACAGGTTGTGGGGTGACCTCCTGGAAAGCAGCCCTACAGAGAAGGACCTGGGAGTCCTGGTGGACAACAAGTTACATATGAGCCAGCAGTGTGCTCTTGAGGCCAGGAAGGCCAATGGTATCCTGGGTTGTATTAGGAAGAGGGTTGCCAGCAGGTTGAGAGGTTCTCCTCCCCCTCTACTCAGCTCTGATGAGGCCACATCTGGAGTGTTGTGTGCAGTTCTGGGCTCCCCAGTACAGGAAGGACAGGGAACTCCTGGAGCGTGTCCAGCCAAGGGAGACTAAGATGATTAAAGGGCTGGAGCATCTTTCATGTGAGGAGAGGCTGAGGGAGCTGGGCCTGTTCAGCCTGGAGAAAAGATGACTCAGAGGGGATCTGATTAATGTTTATAAATATCCAAAGGGACAGTGTTTAGAGGACGGGGTCAGACTCTTCTCACTGTCACCCAACAATAGGATGAGAGGTAATGGGCATAGACTGCAGCACGGGAAGTTCCACCTGGACATGAGGAAGAACTTCTTTCCTGTGAGGGTGACTGAGCACTGGGACAGGCTGCCCAGAGAGGGTGTGGAATCTCCCTCCCTGGAGATATTCAAAACCCATCTGGACAAAATCCTGGTTCATGTGCTCTGGGAGTCCCTGCTTGAGCAGGGGGGTTGGACTAGATGTGACCTTCAGAGGTGCCTTCCAACCTCAACCATTCTGTGAGTCTCTGACTGCAGCCCATGAATAAGCCCAAGCCAGAGCAGATAGACCACAAAGGGACTGAGGGTCATGAAAGACCCAGACTGGAGCAGGTACACCTCCAACAGGAAAGCAGCCTGTGGATCATCCCATGCTGGAGCATTGGAAATGAGTGAGAAGGAAGGAGTGTCAGTGCACTGACCCTGACCAGCCCAAATTATCACCTCACTGAGGGGACTGAGTGAAACCTACGGTGATAACAAGGAGAGGAGTCTGGAGTGAAGAAGTGACTGTGTACCACTGATGTTTTGAAGGAGTCATCAGTCATAACTCCAAGATGCCTGTTTCTGAGTGGGGATGGACAGCTCAAGCACAACATTGTCTCTGCAAAAATAAGGATGTGCTTTGCCAGAGCACCTCAGGTTTAATGATTCTGTGCTGAATTTTACTGTCCAGTTTATCACTTCACCGTTCAGCTTCGCAAAGTTCTCCCACAATCCCTCATGTCTACTGCTTTGGGTATGATGGTTTCATTGAAAGCTTCATAAAATCCCAATTCACATCCTTCCCTAGATATCTGATCAGTAGAAGAACAGCCTGGGGGGGAGCAAACAGAGACCCCAAAACACCCTGTGACCCTCATGGTAGTGTGGGCAATGACCCACCACATACAACATGATCTTGCTGGATGTGGGGACTTCTTACCTGCTGGGTTGCAGTTGTAAAAGCCGGGTCAGGGATGCAACAGCTACAGATACACTAACAAAAGGGGTCAGATTTTGTTCTTGTGCCACAGGAATTGGACACTCTGAACAGGAATCTCCTTTTGTAATGGTCCAGATGTAGAAATACACCAGCTCTGCAGGAAAACACATTTCTCATTCTCAGACTTGGAGAAAATGAAGGCAGTAGATACATCAATTCAGCAGAAATATTATGGGTTGCTTTCTTTTTTGTGTGTGTTATATTTGCAGCTGATCTATGAATCAAATCTACAGCAGCCTAGCACATCAATAAATAGCTCAGGCAATAAAATCACATCAAAGTCATGTGAGGACAATCACAACCGAAAAGGCAGCTAAAAACCCGAGTGCTCACTGGTGTTTGTGCCCTTCCCCATGTCCCTGGGAGCTGGTCCCCTGACCCCCCAGTCCATACAGGGGTGGAGGAAAGGGACAGTGCTCTGCCTTTGCCATGGTGGGGGGATAAGCTGCATGCAGCAGGTTCAACCTCACCTTTGCTGAGAGCATCCTCAGAGCTCAGGCTGGAAAATGTGGGCAACCCTCCTCCAGGCAGATGCATCATCGGCCATTGCATGTCTAGCCAAGAAGCTGGGAGCAGATGTGGGGCTCCAGGCTGGTTTGTGCCTGTGCCAGTGCCATGTGCCCAAGGAGTGGGCATCACCCACCACCCACAGCCTCTCCTGGCAGCCAGGGTCAGCACCTCAAATCTCACTCCTCTCCCAGCTGCCCACCAGCACAAGATGGTTTGTCCCCTCTTTCACCCACCCACTTGAGTTAAATGGTCCAGCAGCATCAATAGCTCTTTGGAGAGGACCTGTAGGCCATCAGCTCATTTCCTTAGCTCACAAAAAAGAGAAGAAATGTAGCCTGTGAAGCTCAAACTAGAACGTTATTTACCTCCAGCTCACTATCAGCACAGTGACGTCAAAGCTGAATACTCTGAAAATGTTCCAGTTCTACACAGGCTGGTCTCTGGATTTAGCACCCTCCTCGGTCTGCCAAGGAGGCTTTGCTGCTTGCTGCGGGCAGTGGTGAGCTGAAGTGCTGCCATTTCCAGCACACACGTACAATCCTCTCACAAATCTCAGGTTTTAAACTCGGAAAGATTCAGGAGAAGAGGTGGGAGTTGTTTACAGTGGATCATGTACTTGCTGCAGAGTTATGAGTCCAGGGTTAGTTTCTGTGGCCCATCACGGGCTGAGATTTGCATGTGCAGTTGTACGGATATCGGTACATGGTCCCGTGGATGGGATGGGTGAGAATTTAGATTCTCTTGAAAGAAAAATGTAAAGGGTCTGCTTGGTTTTGACCCCATACACCATAGTGGGGAATGGGAGGTAGAAATTAGCCATCAAGATGTGCATGTGAAAGGCAACGTGGCAACCAAAGCTGTGGATGACTGATGAGAGAACCAGAAGGGTGTAGAAGACCAGAATGATGCAGATGTGACAGAGGTCCCACATACCTTCAGTCTGTTCTCCCTCAGTACCAGATTCAACAGGGTCCTCAAGATCTTGAGGCAGGAGACCCCAATGAACCACAGATGCAACTCCATGATGAAGAGAACCACGATGATGTTACTGAACTTGGTGTTGGCACAGGCCAGCTTCACCACTCCCATGAAGTAGGAGTGGCAGTATGGCAGGCAACAGTGGAGAAAAGGCAGAGACAACATCAATCCCAGTTGCCCTGGCTAGAGCCAGCAGCCCATTCTTGACTACCAGGGATATGCTCAGGACGGAGCTTGTAGCTTGTGGGGTGCAGATGGCAACATACTTGTTGAGAGCCATGGTCAGCAGCTCCACCAGCTTAATGATTGAGAAAGTGTGAAGGAAAAACATCTGCACAAGTCAGGCACTGAAGGTGAATCTGCTGGACATAGAATCATAGAATGGTTTGGATTGGAAGGGACCTTAAAGATCATCCAGTTCCAACCCCCCTGCCAGCAGCAGGGACACCTTCCACTAGACCAGGTTGCTCAAAGCCTCATCCAACCTGGCCACAAACACTTCCAGGGAGGAGCAGCCACAACTTCCTTGGGCAACCTGTTCCAGTGTCTGACCACTCTCACAGTGAAGAACTTCTTCCTAATATCTAATCTGAACCTGCCCTCTTTCAGCTTAAACCCATTTCCCCTTGTTTTGTCATTAACTGCCCTTGAACCAGAAGATGCTCAGCATTTTGCGCATGATGGTCAGTGACAGCACCAAGTCAATGACATCCAGCATGGAGGGGAAATAAAATATGGGCTTGTGGAGACACGGTTCTGTCTTCAGCACGTACAAGAGGGTGCTGTTCCCAAGGAGGCCTGTGGTGAACACTCTGCTGGGTGTGTATCTTCCAGCCCAGGGATGCCAGTCAAGAAAAACATGGATGGGGCCATGCTGTTGGGAGCAGAGGGTTTGAAATTGAGAGGCAAACTTTGCAAACTGCTCCTAAAAGTCTCACCTTTCAATAAAACATGATAGAAAGAACCAGTAAACTTTGCAGAACACGCCCAGGTTGTGCCACTTTCACTGCAGCTCCCTTATAACGTGTGAAGTTGATTTGTTATTCTGCTTGTTAATAAATCATGGCAAGGTCAGTCTGTGGAGTTGATCAAATATCAAGTGAAAAAGCATCATCACCATTGTTCAGATATGAAACTCTTCGGTGCTTATTTGGATTCAGATATCTCTCCTTCCCTGGATCAGGTGGAGGAAGCAGCAGGTGGTTCCCCAGCACTATAAGGCCAGCATAGTCCTGACAGCCTCCTCCCCAGATGTCTCTGATTCTCCAGGACCCCCTGAGCGCCCCTGGGGGGCCAACTGTGCACAGAGGCACAGCCACAGCTGGAGAGCTTCTGCTGCTCCTTCATCCTTATTCACTCTCCTTTGCCCCAGCTTTGGTTTTCCATGGTCCCTGAGAGCTGTCTCTGCCCTGATGTGGGTCACCTCTTTCCAAGAGCATCTCTAACCATGCTGTCTATTTGTCTGTAGCCAAAATTCCAGCAGAAGCCACAAGACTCCTTAAACTGATCTTCTGGGCTTTTCCTCCTCTCCAGTCTCTGCAGATTTCTACTAGTTTTGGTTGCTTTCTTTTGAAGGACCACGAGCCCAAGAGGCCAGCACACCCAGTCATTGTTCTCAACACTGGATCCAAATCCAAAGTGAGTTTTACACCAGCAGGATTAAACCCAAAGGAGTGTGTGTACCAGGAGATCAATCAGTCATGCCCAGAGGGATATTTTCCCACCTAGAGATCAGATCTTCCCCCTTTGTGGAGCAGAGAGCTGGTTGGTGGGGCTGAATGCTGAGACAGCCATAGCCCGTGCAGTGTGAGAGGAGGGAATTTGCTTACAAACCCTTGCTATTCCCAGGCAGCAGTTTCTCCTTGGTGATGATTAGTGTCTCTGAAGTCCTAGCAGTCAGGGATTAGGGTAATCAGGTTCTTTAAGTC